AGTAGTTTTTGAAAGCATCAACATACGAGATACCATCCGAAGAGTTGATCTGTTTAGACACTGTAAAGATGCTTGTGTTTTTAGTAAGCAAAACATTCTTTTAATGGATTTTTCTCTGTGTATGAAAGATGGATGTAGTCTCCGGGTCTGAAGTATGGAGCAAATGTGCAAATGTTTTAAACCTACATTCTTTTTACCCGTCAGCAGGGGGCGACTCCTCCGTCTGCAGAAAGAATTCTGATTTCACAGAGGTCAATACATTAATGACTCCACTTCTCAGTTGATCTGTTACCTCAGTAAATATTTTCCTAACACATTTATAGTCTTCATCACTACTTCAGGTCTTTTTGAATCCACATGACGTTCATTTTGTAAATTATCAGAGCTGATGATAAAATAGTTTTAGGGCGGGACAGCTATAGTGTCCAGTTATTAGTCAGCATCACCTCTCACTCACTGCATCCAGTTTCAAAAGCCAGAGAAGGTGAGGACCAAACTCCAAACTTAAGGCTTCTACCGTAAATTCTGGACTCTTGAGCGCTGCACCTGAATATAAGCTGCACCCACTAACTTTAAAAAGAAAACCAGTTGTGTTCATATACAGGCCGCACTTGTCTATAAGCTGCAGGTGTCCACGTTGGAACATGAGTTATTTACACAAAGATTTTTTCGTAAAACTCGTAAAAACCCATAAATTAACCGCATCATTGTTTAAGCCTCAGTGTTCAAAATGTGTGAAAAAAGCAGCGGCTTATAGTCTGGAATTTACGGTAGATGGCGTTACAATCTCAGCATCCATCTTTTCTACTCAGACTTTGCTTTGCACGCAGGACAAAGCTCTTTCAATAAGTTCCTGTCTAATGAGACGACTCCGTGATGTTGAAAAGTGGGCTCAAGATAGCTCATTATGACTCCGGCTGTATGTTTGGAAGCACTTTCATGTCGGAGAAAGAATGTGGGACCAATGAGATGGCTCGCTGCAGCATGATGAATATCAATCTAAGAATATTTCCCCGTAATGAGACGATCCTGTCGGTGATTTCACATCACACGTACCTGCATGTAGCATGCAGCGGCCGGGATTAAACACAAAGCAGCAAAAGTCTACCTTGTTACAGACTCTGCATAAACCAGTCGGTCGTGGCTGATTAGGACGGCACACTATGACACATCGAATTATTTGAGCACAACAGTAAAGGACTAATTATGCAAAATGCATCACATCCACTGGTAGGTTTTTAGTAGCACGTCAGCGCACTCAGAGGTGTGGACCTGATGTTAGACGTACTTATCAGGAGCTTTTCATAGCTACTGGTGGCACCAGTGAATCACTGAACCCACTGATTTTCCAACCAGTGGAATCAGATGCTGCCTGCGTAACACATTCTGCTCAGTGTGTAAGTTTGTACTTTGATGCATGAGACCCTGTGATCAGGAGAGCAGCACCTTCCAGCCCTGCTTTTTTATTATCGGAGCTTCTTGTTCTTTCAGCCTCAGCACCACAGAAACCTTCAGATATCAGACGGGGCTGCAGCACTCCACAAAGTTGGGCCTCACGTTCTTCCAGAACAGCGAAGAAGGCGGATGTCACCCAGCCATCTGTCACGCTGGTGGTCCAGCCTCAGCTGGAAGCGGACGGGTCTGATCCACACTGGTCCAGCCAAGGCAAAACCCGCCCAGTGGGCATTGAGTACAGCATATCTCTCCACCCCTGCAGCGCCAGCAGCACTGGCTGCTACAGCCCGGCGCCATTGATCCTTTTTGGTGTCCGAGCCTCAGTCTAGCTTCGGCTACAGCAGGTAACCGGCCACCAGATGGCCAGGACCACCCCCACACCGGCACACACACAGATACACAAGACCCGGTTCTGATGGTTGTTGCAGGGAGGCTGCAGCAAGCACCAGCATATGGTCTGCGTCTTGTACACACAATTCCTTCAACATACGTAGAACTGTTCACTGCATGCTTTCACACACCCACAGAACTCTCAGCGTTCACCTTTTTTTTAATTTTCTTTTTTTTTTTGCATTCATTTTATATTTAGAAGTCAGGTTGGTTCATTATTATCAGCATGATCACAGCCACAAGACCCACTGTTTATCCCCACATTCATTCACACTTATTAGCCAATAAGCTAGTGAGAAACAGCACCCCGCCGGCTGCAGGTTATTTAAGTCCCGCGGAGAGAACAGCAACAAAACACGGAGGAAACACAACCAGAGCTGCGTCAGTTAAGTCCTCATTTGCGCCAGAACGCTCACTTCCGGACAAGCCGAGCTCACAGAGATGAAACTGACCGCGGCGACGTCCAGAGGCTGTTTCATGTCCTTATTTCTTCCTGATTTATGTGCATTAAAGAGTTACACCTAATGAGCTCAGCGTAACCCTGCAGGTGCCGGAGCCGTTTGCCTATTAGTGGATTCAGCACTCACGGTCAAAATCCTAATGCGCGTCTCAGCCTTGAATGATCAGGGTCCGTCTTACTATTGTCTTATTAAAAACAACAGATTAATATATTTATATAAAAAATATCCAAAATTTACTCACCCAAGTTCTTATGAAAAGCCGTGCCTGGAGGCGCAGCGAGCTCTTTAGCTACCGACTGTATTTGTTTAGTGATTTCTAATTTATTTTACCCTTGAAGTGATGCGGGTCACTCTTACTCACTGAAGAAATGAAACTCATGCCGGCTCTGTGTGTCGTCTTTATTCTGGCCTTTAGACTTGCACTACAGAAGTATTTAGATCTTAAAGTATGTGTACAAATACCCCAACATAAAAACACTACAGCTAAAGCTTACTTAGCATTAGCATTAAAAAAAATCCCTCTCCAGTCAGCGAGTAAACTCCTAAAAAATCCATCGCTGTGCATCAAAATTAAATATCTGAATGCTTTTTTTCAATTAAAACAATTCTCTCCTGTAATGAAATGGCTGCTCGCTGCAGATGGAGCACACCAGCTCGCCTACAGCTCTGCTCAAACACTTTACAGGTTCTCTACGCCACACGATGGCAAGTCGGAATAATTCAGTGGCGCCCAATTCTGAAGCAGGATAACGATGCAGAGCTTCATCCTGCAGGTTAACAGGACTGATTCCTCAGATTTATTACATATGAAACATACGAAACTGTATTTCTGAGACATAGCGTTGACTTTCATCTATGATATATTTCTTCTAGCAAATAAAAAACATGGACATGTTGAGGAGATGACCTTGGTTTTCACCGTGGGGGGTCTTTAAACATTCACGTCATGATCCAGAACGGCATCTGGCTGAGTTATATCAACATACATGTGATTGTTTTTTTCTCTTGGTAATATTCAGGAGGCTTTCTGCTGTGTCTCGTGTAGCTAATTGTAGCTGCTTTTCATGCTGGACAAATTAATAAGGAGATCAACCACAACAACAGAACCAGTGACAGGTGAAGCGTTGATCATCTTGTTCCAGTCCAGTCTGCTGCTGCTGGACACACTCATGTGGGTTTTACTTTGACATCAGCACCACCTAACTGAACATGTTTCCAGGCTAACCACATGGAGACGGCAGAGGCTCCCCCCCAGTAGGTCAACGGCTCAGGAGTGACTCAAGAAGCACGACGAGGAGCCCGAGGTGTCGACCCAGCATCCAAGCTCACCGGAACCCAATTAAATAGGTGGATCTGCCAGAACCGGCAATCCCAGAGACCCACAGGCTCCGTGTCCTGGTGCCAGACAACACAGGACATGCCCTGGAGGTCCAAGACCTGCACAGTACCAGGCAGGTGGTTTTAATGTTGTGGCTCATCAGTGTGTGTGTTTTTATTTAACTACAGTTCAGTAAAAAGTACTTTATATTACACATGTATAAGGAAATGGTCTCAGGTTAGTTCTGTACGTGTCACTAACAGGTTTAGATGTCTGTCACAATCTAAATCAATCAATCACAACTGTTCAGAAGTTATAATCTCTCAAACTACTGCCACTTCCTTTAAAAAAAAAAAAAAAAACACCACAAAATCCCATTTAATCTGCAATCAAGCACGACAAGAACATTAGAAGAAGCAGTGTATATGTTTATTATGTGCTATGTACATCATTTACAGTATGATACAGCAAAAATACAGGGTTCTGCTACACAGTCAGGATTGCACGGTTTTAGAGTTAGGCCACAGCGGTCGGGTACCGTGGTTCTGAGACACAACGCCGAGTCTACAGTAAGTACAGCGTACATCTTTGGCTTCGTTGGGAAAACAAAACATGGACAAAGTTCAGTCAAGAGGGAGCGCTGGCAGCAAAATAAATTACAGGAGCGTGTGATTGTGACATGTTGTCTGTCGGATCAGGTTCGGCTCAGCCCTGAATCCTGCAGAAGTGCTTTTCCTCGTGTAGGTAGGATGTGGACGCAATCTGTGCACACGCCGTACGTGAGGAGATAACAGTGGTGGAGAGCAAATTGTATTTCGTTCTCTAATTGGCATCATTTCTCTCAGTCTATTAATTTGCGGTAAAATTAAACCAGTCCTCATTTCGCTCGTCTGGAGACACGAGGCTCCTTCCTCTTCCTCAATAACACTGAATCTTCCATTCTCCTTCCGCCAACATACAGCAGGGACAGTTACTGCCTACAGAGCATCGGGGTGAGGGACAGAATACAGAGAGAAGCCGAGAAGACAGAGATTGGATGAAAGATAGATGGGGAAGGAGAGCAGTAAAGAGAGAGAGAGAGGAGGGAAGTGACACGGAGAGAGGGGAGCCGACAGAGAGATGAATGCAGCGGGGTCGCCGAGGTGAGGAGATGGTGTAATGATTAGATCACAGATACCCTTGAGCCTTCCTCCCGTCCCTCCTGCGCACAAAAAAAAAATCTGGAAGCGCACTTGGTGGAGAAGGCGGCCTGCAGTTGTAAATGGCTCCGCTGTCAGAGTTCATCTGGGCGGAGGAGGGAGAGCGGGAGTGGATTACCGAGTCTGCGATTAAAGGAGCCCACTCCGGCTCTCCGGTCCTCCCGAGACGGAGGAGAGGCTCGCGTTGGATCACATTTGTGCCTTTTCCTGCAGCACAGCTCTCTCTCTCTCTCAGATTTTCTAAAGATGTTATAAATTAAATTCTTGACACTGCAGACATATTGGGAAGCAGGAGGAGAAAGTCTGGAAGTTTTCTGAAGTGAAAGTCAGGAAAAGACATTGTGGTCACTGCCCCTCATCCTGCAAACAATTTCACATGATTCCAATTGTTGTTTCTACTCTAACAGAAACCTCTCTCTCTGATAATTTGCCCTCCTCACACTCACAGCAACAAGTCTGAGGTTAGCTGCTTTCTGAAGTATTGTTCAGCTCCTAATCAGATGATGTCATCTCCAAACTTTATCAAGTTGAAGGTTTGGAGCAGAACGGCTGCGTTTGGGATGCTTCCATCTAGTGGTCGCACGGAGACACTGTTTGACGAGACCAGAATTGGGGGAAAGGCACACGTCACTATGCAAAAAGTGCATGAACGCGGCCCGTTCTGACGCATTTCTTCAGTCCAGCGGTTAAACAATGCAAAATAATCTCCGTCATACATCACCGAGGCGTGGAGCGACAGGCCTGGCAGGGGGTTATTAATGATGTTCAAACATAATGGCTCCATTAAGTGCACACAAAAGCATTTTTTTTTTTTTACAATAAACTCTCACTTAAATTCACAAAATATATTTCCGGCAGTGGCACGAACACAATGAAGACATGACAGGGGAGGCGACGTCCAGTTAGCCACACGACGGCTTCCTCCATCCTATCACGGGGTTAGACTCTAATAAAAGCTGTAAAACTCAACGTCTGACCGTTATTTAAATGCTTTTAACTGTCAACGAGGGAATGCTGCGCGTCTGAGTGGCAGATATGATATCGTGTTTTATGTTCACTGCATGTTCCTAAAAATGAAAATGTCAGGTGTAACTGAGGAGGAACTAGTTCATAGTAACGTAGTGTGAACGCTGCTCTGTGATTGGCTCGTTAACCATCAGCTGAGGGACATTTCCATCACATACGTAAACAACGACGGGTTGAAGGAGTTCTCGTCTCCAGACTATAGTTGATCACTGGATCTGTGCTCTTTGCCTCCTTTTTTTCTGGGACATCAGCGGTGTGTCGTGTAGCATGATTTCCTGTAAAGGTATTATTCCTTCAAATGTGGGAAAATCCTCTTTGGCTGTGGATTAGGGAGACGTTATTGTGCACAAAGTCAACGAGAGGTGAAGGTGGAAGGAAGAGGGGGTGAGAGGGAGGACAGTTAGCGGGAGGATATTAGTAGCATGAAAGCTGATTGGAGGGTTGATAGCTAAAATACTTCTAAAATGTGCTTTTTAAAATTTTAAGTCTTCAGTATTTCAGCCAAAATTGAGAGGACGTCTCTCTCTGGAGGTGCATTCACAGTTACCTATTGAGGTGATGCAGTTTTTACATTTTTTTTTGCATTATCTTTAGTTCAAACCTACAGCCTCACACATATAAAACTGAGACAACAACTCAAAGCATGCTGCAGAGAAAAAAAAACAAAACAAAGGCGACTGCAAACTGAGCAGACCGAAGCCGGGCTGCGTCTGTGTTTCATCTGCTTTTCTTACGTTACAGGTGAAAGAGGGCAGGTGGCTCCCAGACTCTGCGACAAGCTGCTAATGCCTCCAATAAGATAAACCCTCAGCGATCCCCCTGCTCTTATCGGTGGCAGCTCTGTCAACAAGAGCCCATTCGCCCAACGGCCAAGACAGCTAAAAAACATGAGAAGCTGTGCCGGAGATAAAGGATGTAGGAGGTGGGAGGAAAATAGGAACAACGGCGATCAATTGCTGGCACTGCGCAGCGATGCTATCCGACGCCATCCCTCTCTTACATCTCTTGTAAGAGTGAGTGCGTGGCGATCATAATCTGAAGGGGAAGAGAGGTGGGTGGTGTGTGTGTGTGTGTGTGTGTGTGAATCTGGGTCATCCAGCCATCAATAACCACCTGCATTAGTGGAACAAACACACAGGCAAGGTCAAAACCGACTGAACTCCCTTCAGAGTGAGCAAGGAAAGAAAAGAAAAGAAAAAAACACAACTTTACAGCGTCGGTCTCTTCCAGCTGTCACATGACTCTATTCCCACGTGGAGTGGCGGGCAGGACGGACGGATGAATGGATGGATGGATGAGCGCATGAATGGAAGAGCAGCGTTTGAGTATCTGCTGCTGACAGTTTTGGCGACGGCCGACTTGGCAGGTGGAAACAGGTGGGAGTTGGGGAGGAGGAGGGGGGAGAAGGGAGCGAAGGATGAATTATGGATGGACGGATGAAGTAAGGAGGGAGCGGGTGGGAGGCGTCTGGCGAGGGCTTGTGCCCCCGCTGACAGGCAAGCTGCTAGTTGGTGGAGTCGCTTAGCCACACAGAGTCCACCAGAGATGATGGGGCATCTTTTGCATCTGCAATGTGCTATAGCCCTTGTCTCTCCCAAAGGCCTCTGGGATGGTTTTAGGCAACAGGGCACCGTGGAGGAGAGTGAAGCCGTCTGCTTTGCTCTGAAAAGTAACACTGGAGCGAGCAGCGGTGCAGAAGCTCGCTCTGTTTGTCACTGTTAGGCGCTCAGTTTGCTCACTCCGCCGCCGCCGCTGCTGCTGCTGCTGCTGCTGCCGCCGTTCGTCTTTCGTCTTACTCTCGTTCCCGTATTGGACCTTTCACTCCTCACCCTCCTCAACGTATGTGGATGGAAACCAGCCGACCTGAGGGGGAGGAAAGAAATCAGTAAACTGTTGACTGACGGCACCAGAATGTGACGGCTCGGGTTGCTCCTCTAATCGAGTTTAGCTTGCCCTGCTTTAAAACACTGATCTCCTGCATTTACCAGAAAAAAAAAAGCTCTATCATGTTTGAGAAGGAGAGAAAATTTGCGTTAATTTACAGTACGCAACAAACACGGCTCAGCATTTACTAGCTGCTCAGTGACAACTCGTAGGCACCTTTCTATTGGAGCATGCTAACAGTCGCTAATTAGCGCCAAACACAGCTCAGTGCAAACGAAGATGTCATTAGCTGGTGACTAAATATGTACAAAACTGGGCAAACACTAATCATCTGGCGGCACTACATGAAGACGCAGGGATCCATGCAACATTAATGTCTGTCACGATTTGTGCCAGTCCATTCATTAGATAACGAGATGTGACACAAGCTGCTGCTGACGAGCCTCAACGAGACGGCCTGAACATTTACCGATGGGCGATACATTAAAGGAAAAACCATCATAAAGTGTAGGTTAGTAGGTGTTAGCCCTGTGTCTGTATTAGCAGTGACACGTTCCTCTAAGTCAGGATCTCCAGCTCTGGTCCTGGTAAGCTACTGTCCTGCAGGTTTTAGACGTTACTGCAACACACCTGACTCACATTAATGGATTGTTAACAGAACTTTGACAACAAGCTGTTGGAGATCCATTAATGTGAGTCAGGTGTGTTGCAGTAACGTTTAAAACCTGCAGGACAGTAGCTCACGAGGACCAGAGCTGGAGATCCCTGGACTAAGTGGACCAAAAGCAGATACCTCCACCGCATAACAATGCCACCAGTTCCTCCAACTCATAGACTGTATAAAAGATGGACGTAGCTGCCGTGACGTCACCCGTTGATTTCTGCACTGAGAAAATGAAGCCAGGGTTTTGCTACTTCCTGGTTGACATCTTGGATTTTTGGAGCCAGTGACGCAAAAATCGTGGGAGGGGGGCGGAGCCATAGGAGCAGCGATTGGTCAGACGGATTGAGAGGCGGGCCCTCTCGCCCCGCCCACATTTACCGCCTTCTGCTCACTTCGTCTGTATGGTCGCTGCCGACTGTCAATCAAGCCAGCCACGCCCCTTGCCCCGCAAAATGTTGACGATTTTTTAAAAATTCAGTATTGATTTATTTTCAGATTGGCCACCTGATCTCTGGACTTGACCATGAAAATCTGTGATCACTTCTTTTCCAATTCCAGTCTATGGGAGCCAGGGCTTTGTGGAGCCAGCAGCTAGCGGACATAAGTTTTTGACACTTCCGGGTTGGCTTCATTGTTCAGGGCCGGTTCCATCTTTCATACAGTCTATGCTCCCACTGCTGGGGTCAAAGCTTCAGGTGTTTCCTTTAATTCGTCACCCTTCTGCCTGTAGTTCATTGCCGTGTTAGTTTTGCTGCCATTAAAATGAAGCAGAAACATCACACGTCAGCGGCTACGTTTTAAACGCTAATGAAATGTTTTTGGCAGAAGCTTAATAATAATAATTTACTTGTATCTGTCACAAATCCTCACGCACGGTACCTGAGCTGGAAAATAAACGTCAGCGATGCCTCGCCAAAAGCTTTTAATAACACGGATTAAGCTTGATTAAATAAATGTAATTAATTGAGTCACTGTAATTACACTTGAACAAAATGACTGCAGCTTATTTAAGTTTTATTTGAGAGTAAATATAACACATTGGGAGGAAATCATTCTTTATTAGTGTAATTGGTAGATTTTTGGAGACGTCTCAAGAAACCTCAATCAACTAAAAAAATAATTGAGAAAACATCCAACATGAAGGAAGTAGCTCTGATATAAATTGCCAATATCATTTAATTTGATCAGATTTCATTAGAAATGTTATCGATCTGATATAATCCCAGAAAAGTCCGTCTCCACAGACAGAAGCAGCTGTTTTTTCCAGCGAGCAGCGCCGATTGTGTTTATTGGCTGACGGCCCTAAAGAGAGACTAACAGCCCTCGGCAGACTTTCCTCGCTCTGCCTCCTCACCGTCGACTCACACATCAGTAAAAAAGAGAAAAGCTTCTTCATTTAACACAGTTGTTCACAAAAAAACACACTGGCGCAGCGCAGACACGTTACTTCCTTATACAGGCCGAGCTAAAACGCAGGCGAGTGGGAGTCAGTACATATATCTTCCTGCATTTAGAACTTGGATCCTCTCAGCATTGTATGCCTGGTTATGGAGCGCTTTTGGCATTGGCAAGGAGAATTTATGCATTTAAGTGATACAAGAGCAGCAAATGAACCCTTCCAAGAGATGATATGTGGAAAAAAAAGATAAGTAGTACACGACAGACTAATGAAAAAGAAAAAAAAAACCCTCAACGGTCTCTTCCAAGCACTGGGAGACAAAAATATCTGCCAAATGTTTCTTCTGCTTTTAGTTCTACCTACAGTTTAGGATTTACAAGCAGAATTATTTCTGAGTAAACGCAGCTAATGAAAGTTCTGAAACTTCTGCGTCTCGAACAAATATCAGCGAACAAAGGCGCTTTAATCACTGCATCGAATTAGAGCTGATTTGGCATTTATAGGATTGTATTTTTAGAGAAAGCAGATCGTCTAAAACTCATCCTCACTCTTTTATTTCTTTCTACCCCTTTTCCACTCAGCAGGCCGACACTCACCCTGCCGTTGACCTCGCCCCTCCACCAGCCGTTGGCTCCAGACTTGGTGTAGATCTTCACCACGTCGCCCTCCTGCAGCGACAGCTCGCGGGTGTCACGTGAGCTGAAGTCGTACCTCGCTATCGCCACGCCGATCACTTTGGGGGTAAACACTAGATGGAGAAAAAAAGCAAAGGTGGAGAGGTTTTGATTATGCACAGTTAATGATGAATTTAATAACATCAATTTCAACATTCACACCTGTGAACACACACACAGAGATAAAGATTCTAACAGGGCTGCAGATATTGTAAATGCTAAATCTCATCCTTTTATTGCTTTTGGTTAAAAAATGCCATCTATACTTTAATTACCGGGAGCTACGACAAATCTATTTGATGGGAAATGTAGTTTTGAAAACAAAATCTGAGGAGAAAAATCTCCAAACACAAAATCCCAGCATCTCAGATCATCTCATCTGACAACAAAAAAAGGTTTGATCGACTTGTTTTAAACTAGGGGATACTTTAAATTGTCTGCACACAATGACTAACACATGTGCAAGTAGCTGATAGAGGCTGAAATGCAGGTTTAGGTTTGGGTTTAGGACACGGAGATGGTTTTGCCGCCCATCATTTAGCAGGTAATTACCAGCTCGGGGTTTATTTTTAAGTGCTCCGACATCAAAAGCGAGCTAAAGCCCATTGACTTCACATTGTGTAGTCCTTGGGTTTTTGTTGAAGCGGTCCAGCCAGAGTGTTCTGACAGCAGCGAGCGCGAGATTAGATGTCTCCTGTCGAGGAGACGGCAGCCTGAGAGACAGATGTGGAGCAGGTTAGCTAGTTACCGCCGCTCCATCCCACCCTGCCGGCTCGCTTCCTTTCCAGACACTGACTGGTGGGTCGGACTGGGCTAAGCTGACAGGTGGAAATGGAATGTCAGACCTCTACAACCTGGCCGTTGGGATAGAATATCTAATATAGAGGAGCTCTGTGTATTCCAACACTTCCACCTTTACTTTGACGGACAGACACACACACACACAAGCAGCACACTCGGCCGCCGCATAAACCTCCGAAAACAACTTCTCTGCACGCCGCTTCCTGCCTCACACACACACATGCAAACACGAGCACACACACACACACACACACACATGCATGAAAATAAACAGTCCCTATTCTCCGCACAGGATGGCATGGACGTGCACGCGACCGTGTGAGGGGTGGAATGGTGCAACGGGAAGCCGGATGAGAAGATGTAACGGTGACGGTGTGAATGTACTGAGCTACAGCCAGCATGCAAAGCAGCCTTCAACATGAAAGGAAAGACAGAAAGAAGGAGAGAGACAGACAGGCAGAGAGACAGAGAAGCGATACCTGTACCTGACCAGAAGGGAGCAGAGGAAGGAGGTACAAAGCTGTAGCCGGCAGGAGTTACAAGAGAGAGGCCGCAGAGCAATGGGGCTATGGCAGGGCAGGCCAGGCAGGGATGCGAGAGGGAAGGGGAGAGGGCAGGGAGGGATGGGGAGGGATGGAAGAAGGAGAGAGAGAGAGAGAGAGAGGCAAAGGAGAGAAAATAAAACATGTTTTTAAAAATTCCAATTTTGATCTTTTTTTTTTTTTTTTTTTTTTTCAAAGCAATAAAGAACACAGTCTCAGTTTGATAAAAAAATAAATGACGCCGGGCACAAGAGGAGCTGGCTTCGTCTGCACCGCCACTGGTAGCAGCTCTCTCATTGATGTTCGGCGCCCTTGAAAGTATTTACACAGTTTGGCTTAATGCGGGTCCTATAATTAGAAAATTAAAATTTTAACTCAAACACGGGGGGGATCAAACCCTAAACTTTTATCAAACCCTACAGTCAGTTCTTGATTTCTTGGTTGGAACTTTTAAACACAGAGAGTCTTTTACTTCTGCTGAGACGTAAACACAACGACGAGCTACAGAAGCAGCAAATGCCCCACAATGCTGCACTGGAACAAGCCTCGAAAGTCCACAGAAACCCACACCGCAACCAAGACTCTGCTGAAACATTAAGCGATGACACGTCTCGTTTCCAGTCGGCCAGATGACGTCTGCATCGCTAATGGAGTATGACATCTTCACTTCTCCGTTTAATTGAGAAGAACATGTAGTGTACTCACAATCACAGCACGGGGAATAGATTTCCATCTGCATATTTATGAAGACAATCACGCTGCTGCAACATCGCCCCGACTGCTCGAGTCAATAACTTCTCAGACGCCGGTTAAGTTGCTTTATTTCCTACTTTGTTAGTAGTTTCATCGTAGTGTTTCTGAAGCCAACAGCGCAGATTTCTCTACATTAGAAAAACTGTCTTTATCTTGCATACAGCTTTAAAAAAAAACAAAAAAAAAAAAACAACCCACCAGAGATTCGCTGCATTTGTATTTCTATCTGTCTTCCAATATTTCTGCTGGCAGAGAAAGAAGCTACAGGCATTGATCCGATTCCAACAATGTCTAAGAGTTGGCAGTGTCGCTGCCTTGCTCTGGGGAATAGAACCTCTAACCTTGAAAGTATTAGCACCTCGGTGTTCGCGGATAATTTGGAGTCCGCTGGGTTATTTTGGAATGTAACTACAGAACATAGAAGGTTTGGCACGAGTTCAATCAGGACAGAAAAACACTGATGCTAAAAAGGTTTTTGCTCGGTAGTGATACAGAAGTAGAAAGAATCCAATAAAGGTAGCCGGCTGGCAATGGATGCCAGAGAGTAATTTTGTCCAGAAGAGTTTAACTGAGGTGAGCAGAACCAATGGAAACCTGGTGTTCCTTATCTGGACGATGTAGAGAAGAAAAAAAGCCTTATAGAAAATATATTATAGAGAAAGATGCAAGAAATCAGATAGTTAATTCTGGCTCTGGTGAAATGATCACAAAGAGACACAACAAAAGCCTTTCAGTGAGCACAAAAAGACGTGAAATGACTACAAGGTAAACCCAAAGAGACGCTGCGAGGGTCTGTTATCTGTCTGAGTGCATAATCTGTCCATTAACAAAGGTTACAGGAGCTATTCATTAATATTTTATTATTTAAAATATCTGATAAGATTTGTTTGGAATTCAATTATCGTCGTTTGTCCATTATCGCACAGAAGCAGGAATTAAAATCAGAGCGGTGACACATTTCGAGAAGCTGTTTCCTTAAAACAGAGCCTCCCAATAGCCTCCATTCATTTCCCACGTTCCAGCCACTGGGAATAGAAAATCTAATCCCCACGACGGCAGATAAATGCCCAAACTTTATGAAAAATGTGTCGCTCCCAACAATGCTGCTGGCAAGTTAACTGGCCCGGGTTATTGATATGCTGTAAGGAGAGCAGAGCTCCAGTGGTTTTTAAAATGAATACTAATCAGCGCACTGAGAGACAGCTCAGCAACCCCTAATGGTGTCTAGGTACGAGCAATATGAAGAGGGATCGCCCTCCACTTCAAACAGCCAGCGAAACACCAGCTGCATTTTACATGCTTCATTTTTGCAAAATCTGATTTGTGGACCACACCGGAATGCACAATGTGAGCTGCCTGACTAATAGACGAGTCCGAGGCCGAGAGCGCTCACACACACATACACAACATCTCACGGCGTCGGCATCCAATCAGCCGCCCGGCGTCCCGCTCACACGGTCATCCGACGCAGACTCATTCGGATTAACGCCGTTTCTTTTGTAGTTGCTGGTGAAAAGCTATCAGTCAGTTTGTGCCAAAGCTGTCCGACAACCAGAAAACAAAGCATAAACAGTAATTAGGAGTTTTCCAGCAGTGCTCTGGGAAAGACGGGAATCAAAACGAGAGTCGTTTAAAAGCGAAAGCGAGAAAATGAAGTCTGCACACCAGGAGCAGGCTGCCGACAAGACAGAGGACCTCAGCAGAACAAAACAAATTTGGATTGGAGCTGTCTCGACTTGTGTTTTGAAGCTTGAGTTTGAACAAAAGGCCCCGCTTTAGAACAAGCAAACAGCTCCGTACAATCTGTTCACATTTCTCCTGCTCGAAACGTGACTGTCAGCCAGCCAGGGACTTTTCTTTTCCACGGCACGCAGCCTTCACACGGATCTCGTTTTTCCACCGCCGATTGTGATAAGTCATACATTTTCCGTTAAACGACTGATGGGCAAACGTTGCTCCGCTTGGCTCACGCGCCGGGTTTAAAGCCGTTTCTTCTGGCATGGCTTGAAACAATCGGTGTGTGGGTTGAACATGTATGTTTTCAGAAGGCAAACAGACACTTTTAGTTTGGGAGCTTTTTTTAACCTTATTCCCATCTGACACAATCAGTCGAGCGTACGAAACAACCAACCTGACTGATTTGCGCTGAATATCTTGCCACGAAATGAACTACCGCGACTGTTTTTTGTCACAGAAATGCCTGCGCTCACTCCAGAGCTGGCAGCTTGACAACGCTCCGCTTGCTTTATCTGTTGCTTCGCTTCAAAAAAACGTCGTCTCATTAAAAACGAGGCTCAAAGTTTTCATGCCCCACACCTGTTAACTTCCAAATCCAAAAAATAAAAAGCAAAACATCTCACAGGATATTATGTTCTTTCTCATTCAGCCCCGATAAATAACAGCTGAGAGGAATCAGGTTAGTAACGGTAATGACTGACAAAGTCTCCGAGTTGAGCAGGAACAGCAGCTGCATGCATAAATAATCACCGGAGTACCAGAACGCCTCCACCCAGCACAAGTGTTGGTGACACCAGCTGGTTTTTTTTCTCTTTTCTTGAGGTGTCGCCAGTTTGTTCACAACAGAACAAACAGCTCATCCTTAAACAGGTAGAAACAGAAGTCACGCTGCTTAAATCTTCACCCCAATAACTGACAAAGTGGAAGGTTTCAGGCTGTCTGAGGGCTGAAAGGAGGAAACGCGACCATAATCTGCTGGTGAGCTTCGGTTTTTGACATCATACGCTAACGTACTGCTTGATATTTCAATAACGCTGCATCATTATCATTAGGTATAAAAGATGTTGGGGCTGCAAGGTGGAGCAGGGGTTAGCACCGTCGCATCGCAGCTAGAAGGTCGCCGGTTCGCATCCCAGTGAGGACACCCGGGATTCTGCTTGGAGTCTCCATGCAATTTAGAATCACCAATTAACCTCAGCATGTTTCTGGACTGTGGGAGGAAGTCGGAGAACCCAGAGAGAACCCACGCTGCACGGGGAGAACATGGAGACTCCACGCAGAAAGATCCCGATGCCCCCACCGGGATGCGAACCGGCGACCTTCTTGCTGCGAGGCAACAGTGCTACCAACTGCGCCACCCTCCAAAAACATGCTGAGGCTAATTGGTGATTGTAAATTGTCCGTAGGTGTGAATGTGAGTGTGCTTGGTTGTCTGTCTCTAAGTGTAGCTCTGTGATAGACTGGTTACCTGTCCAGGTGAACCTGCCTTCACCCTGAGTCAGCTGGGATAGACTCCAGCCCCCCATGACCCTAGTGAGGATTAAGGTGTAGAGATGATGGATGGAGGGTATAAAAGATCTTCCAGTGATGGTGTACTATCTTAATATCAACTAATATTTTCAATAAATAATCTTACAAATTCCAACATGATCCATCCTGAGCATAAACGGTATGACGTTGTTACAAAATAATAAGAATTTAAATGTCTGAAACATCATAAAATAATGTAAATATACACTTTACCAGTAATACAATGTCTAATATGAACTAAAATGATCATATTAAATGTAAGTCTTGCTTTTTGGTTCGAATCAAAATAATTAAAGGCAAACATTAGATTAAGAACCGCTAACGAGGCGATGCTCTAATTTGGATTACTTACACTTCACATGTGATTCTAACTCGTTAAAGGTTCCACCGGATTATCTCGCCCGCCCGGAACTCGACGTGACTCGGTCTCCGGTAATCGGCCAGAGAGTGTTATCAAATCTAATAACGCGCTCGGCGGATTCTCCGACCGCCGCTTGACAGCCAAGTCAAAAACAATTACCGTCAGAGGAGACCCGACTGTTTTTAACAACAAATAACCATCTCGCTCCGTTAGGGCGGTGAAGATGCTTGTTTGTGATGTAAAGCGGCGTGTGAAAAGATGACAGGACGGAAAGCGAGAGCAGCAGAACCAGTACCAGAACCATTAGTGCTATTCATGGAGGGAGGGCTGACGTGAATGTGAGAGTTCACTGATGCTGGTAGGACGACAGCAGAGTGTCGTGGCTCGACCTGAAGTGGTCTTCAAACAGAAACCTCACTCATAACTAATAACAGTAATCACTTCTGACCAGGTGCAATGATCACACACTGAGGCGACGCAGCAAAAGCGGTGATACTTCAATGCGTTTGGTTTACACGTAAACGAAGCTACGAGTCACCGATCACATCTGGAAACTCCGGCCACAGTGGAGATTTGGAAAAACTCCGTCGTTGCATGTAGACAGGAGGAGACAGAGTTTCACAGTGTGCAGCAAAAGCATCATCACAGGTGTGCGACCATGTTTACAGCTTTTTCCAGGATTTTGATTGGCTAGCATGGCTTCATGCTTCTCGTTACGCCGCCCCCTGTAGGTTTGGCAGCTCATAGCAGCTCCTAACAAGGTGATCATGCGGGTTTGTGTAAACGAAGATTTTTTTTTTTTTTAAATGATCCCGTGTGAACGATGTTATTTTTGAAGATCCGTTTTAGAGAATACCCGGCCAAGTGTCGTTATCAGGTGAGTGGGACGTTCTGCCCGTTGACACCATCAACCAGCAGGTGGACAGGACGCCGCCATGTCTTCACGCATTGATCCGTGTCAGGGGTCAATGTTAGTGACATTTAAAATATTGGACATTCTGATGCATGAAATCCCCTCGAACATGTGTTTCCTGCTGCATGACCAAGGTTGAAAAATGTAAACAAAACCCTGAATCCTATTTGTTCAATACCTTCAGTTTAGTTTAAGTTTGCAAACGTTATCTGTGGTTTAGTTTTTTACCGTGATGTGTATTGTGTGGATATTGTGATATCAATAAAGTTTTGAGAAGATAAACACTTTATCCATGAAGAATAAACTGAGAATAATTTCATGAGAAGAAGAAAAAAAAAAAATATTCCAACTTTATGGGCTTTTTTCAACCATTGAGATGAATTTCAAGTAAAAATGATTCTCTGATTGGCTTTTCAAATGTCATGATTCTGTTTTTTTTTCTTTGTTTTATAGAATAGAAAACTACTTTTTTGGAAATTATGGTCACAGTTTTCAAAAATCTATATTTTTTTTTCTTGAATGATGATGCTTCAATGTACCCCGCTTGTAAGCTGCTTACAAAAACATTGCTCCACAGCGCTCCTCGTGGTCACAAACTCCTCTGATCACCTTTAATAAATCGAGCACAGAGATCTGAACCTGTGCGTTAACAGAAGCAGCTGAGACAATATTAGTACACAGAATTATTTTGCCAACTTTATCCCCTCTCCGACTCAAACGACCTTTACCGCAATTAAATGTTTGAGCTCTTAATTTGAAGGGATTATGCCACTTTAGTCAGGCTGTTTCGTGGATTGTGGGTATGTTCTTGTAATTTCTAGTCCACTCACTGTTCCCTCCTGATCGGTTGAGGCGATGCATAGCAGCGTTCTCCGGTTCCCGGTACGGAAACTGCAGCGTGGTGTCCAGACTCCTGAAGCCTTCCCTCAGCGAGTGGTGTTTGTAATACTCGATCAGCTCCTGAACGCACACAAACAAATCAATCAAACATAAACAATCATTTGCATTTGTGTCACATTCCTTTTGATGATCAATTTGTAAAACCACAGAAGTGACATATTTATGAATGTTGGTTTTAGCTCTTTTCGACAGATATGTAAATGACACAGATGTTTCATGAATGCAACTGTCACTGAATCTAATTATTAGCACTGAGCCCGCTGCTTTTAATCTCCTAAAGATCACGTTTTCTGACTAACTTTACAATCAAATGCTACTAAAACACACGTTGACACGCAGCAGTGTTCTAATATCACACAGACAGTCTGAGTAAAGAAATCCAGCCATGAAAAAAAAAACAGGGAACCTTTCCAAAATGCATCGGACTTGTGGACTATAATGCCGAAGCCCTGGGGCCAGTATAAACATGGCTTTAATCACGGCTATTTTTGTCCACATTGCTAAAATAAAATTCAGGTTTTGACACTTCATTAAGTGAACGGGATGATTTATTTATGAATTGCAGTGGTGGAAATTTAAAAAATAAAAGAGGCTGAAAAGACTCACTAATATGCTCCTGAACTTCTTGTTCTCTGCGATGTGGAAGCAGCCCTCCTTGGTCAGGATCTTTATGTGCTTCACGTCGTTGTTGTACCTGTGGGCCATTGAATAAGTTATGAGTGTAATTTCCCTCTCTGATCACCGCCATCGATCGGTGGCCGGCCCCTGGCCCCTGTGGAGAGCGAGGCCGTCGCGGTAATGCATCGGGTCCCAGAGGTTTGTGACACGTGAATGATGGGTGGTCGGGAGGGAACGTGCACACGTGCGCGGCCGCGTGTTTGCGTTTGCATTAACAAGGCGGCTGCAGAGTGACAACTGTGGTCGGGTTGTGCACAGAACCAGGATGTGTGTCGTTCACAGGGTGGCTTTGTTAGCAACACTGCTGCAGCAACATGCTTTATGCTGCTGCATCCAGCTAGTTCATAGAATAATGTGACAACAAAGGTGATCATTTCTGCAGTCTAAACAATTCTTGCAGCATTTCATAACCTTCTTCTCGTATTGAGTGTTTTTTTTTTTTTGTACCGACACATGCAGGACACCAAACCCGGACAACTCTTTTACTTAATGCTGATGTGTCCTTGGAAAAACCTGCCTAATCAAAAAGGACCTGAGGATAATTAGAACTGGGTCCAGACAACATGGGCCCTGGTAGTAAGGGGACGGTCAAACAGAGCAGCAGTTCTCCTTTCACAAGTCCTCGGTCGGGTTTCAGTTACC